ATCTTTCTTGCCTGTCCAGCTTTTGCTGGTGGGTTCTTTCCAAGAATATCCTCTGCTTTTCAGTATTATTTCTTTGACGTATCTTTGCAACTGGTCTATAGCTAGATTACCTTTTTTTTTTTTTCCTGGGCCGTATGTTAATGACCTGAAATGTTCTTTAAGTGTCTCAAAAGTTAAGTGTACTCTTCTAGTGCACTCTGTACCAAAGAGATGCTGGAAATATCTCAGCACCTTTTGGGCAGTTTTCTAAACTTTGTTCTGGCTGTGTGCAAACATTATGGACACTTTGGGTGGAAAGGCCACTTGCAAAGCAGAAGCATGAGCATTGAAACCCCCCTGCTCAGGGAAGGTGAAAGATAAGGACATAGCAGTCAGTTAAGCCAGGAAGCTGCAGGGACAGCCAAGGTAACAGCTGAGCTGCTAAAGGCCAGTGAGACAATTGTCAACAGAGTATTAGGACAATTGCAAATGATACAAAAAAAAGAGGAGGTACTGGATAACTGATGCCCTTGGCCAATTGTAACAATTTGAAGAGAGATTGCAGTGACCAAATGCTTCAGAGAGGTGACTTTGCTGCAGGAACACGGTGAAAGCAGCTGCCAAAGGATTAAGACCAGTTTTAGAGGGTGGGATGGTAGGAGGAGATGAAGTTAGAAGGAAAATGGGATGTAAAATTCAGGAAAGGGATGGTTGAAGCTAAGGTAGACGGTAGGGGGGAACCCGGCAGGAGACATGGGGATGACAGAGTGCCAGGGAAATCCTGCCAGCACGCCCAAGGTCAGCCCAACCTACAGGCCAACTGCCAAGTAGATGGCAGCACGTGGGTGGCAGGGTTATGGCCATGCAGGGTTTGAAGGAGGTACAGGTGTAGAATGGCAGAGAATGGCATGTCTGTGCAGTCCTTGAGTCCAGGAATGTTTTCTGGGACATAGAATTAGGAAACTTGCACTACTAAGAGGCAAATGAAAAAAGCTGGACAGTGTGCTCATGCTGAGGATGCACTCTGCACTGCTAGCTCCGGGGGAGAAAACTTGTGCTTGGGGTACCAACTGTGTGCTGGTGAGTTTTGGCTTCAAACTCTTTTGTGAGACCTTGTGCCAATCAATATAAACTAAAATCTATTTGTAGACAGCATCTATATCTTTGTGCTTATGTCTAGTTGCAAAAATGACCATTTAATGTCTGCTAATTTCACTGCACAGTAAACTTCAAACAGAAAAGGTGGTTAGGAGGAGAAATACGGGTCTGGGCCTCTATTGGGGTTTCCAAATGCACTTTGAATAACAAGCTGTATTGATACCAGTGAAGATCCTGGAGGTCTTCACAGACCCTCTGTGTGTTTAGATCTGCAGCAGCATCAAATCCCAGCCCACTCAGTGCCCTGCATACTCTCTCTTGTAAAACAGGGTCATTACACAGAGTGTGGGGGTTGAATACACCTGTTAGTAGCACTGTGTGGAGTTATTTTAAATGAAAGGGCCTAAGACATGGGTCCAGGAGGACAGCAAGCCTAATCTGCACATGTTTACAGCTCTGTAATGTCAGGTACAAAGCACATGGATGGTTTTAGCTCCTGGAGGTGAGGTACTGCCAATGATGGGCATTTTCCTTGAAAGAAAACCTGTAGACCTGTTTGCAGTGGGGATGAGGGCTGGGGCAGGTGAAGTGGAGCGTGCACGCACGGTAACATGGTTGTTACCCCAGCGTGTGCCCTCCTTGGACGCATGCTCTCTTGCAAATTGTGGCTTGTACAAGGCAGCTCTTGTAGAGATCAGAAGCCGCAGCACGAATTGGGGGAGCCTGACTGGAGGATGCCCCATGGGGAAAGCTGGGACCCTACCACATCCTTGTTACCGCTGACCTTGGCACGAGCGCTGCCTGCTGATGGATCGGCTACGGAGCTGGACAAGACCCTGGGGAACCACTGTATTATCTGTTATTGTCCCATCAGTGCCTCCCCTGACCCCTCCCAGCTCTGAATGCCACAGGCATCAGGGAGGGAATAAATCTCTGTCTGATACTGAGAGAGAGAAGGGAGCGAGAGCAGGAAAAAGGAGAGATGAAAAATGTCCTTTTTATGACTCTCACAACAAAGCTGGCCACATGACTTGTAGCAAATATTTCCCTGGGAAAAGGGAGGGAGAGGATGGGGGAGAATCAGCAAAAAAGCAGAGCTGCTTCTCTCCCCTGGAAGATGTCCACGTAGAATTAATAGAGGGGTATGGGTGACCTCTGAAGGTAAATATCCCAGGAAAGGAAAGAGACCTCAAAGCTTCAGAAACATCACTCCAGTGTCTGATGCTGCCTTGTGAAATACTCCACACGGCACAAGTCCACCATGAACAGAAAGCAGAGGCACAAGTGATTTGCTGTGCTAGAGGGAGCAGCAGGGCCAGGGGGAGATTAATGAGGCATTAAGCAACCACAGCATTTATGTTTATTTCTATTTGGAGTGATCCAGGAGACCTTGTACTTGTGAGCCTGGAGAGAACTGCTGACCTTGGTGTCCTTAGGAGACCAAAGCCTCCAGCAGTGCAGCCCAGGGCCTGAGAAAAGGGGCTGGAGATACATTGCCAGGGCCAGAGAAACCCCCTGCATATCACCCACTGACAGCTCCAAGACCACAAACACGTTTCTGTGGCAGCTGCCGAGTCGTTCGTGCCTTATAACCCCCTTGTGCTGCTGTCCCCAAGGAGGCAGCCCAGCCCCAAGGCTGTGTGTGGGCACGAGCTGCAATTCCAGCTGTGCAGAAGAGCTGCAACAGAGCTGTGGGTGCAGACTGGGAGGGTCTGCAGTGGTGTTCTGAGGGTTGTCCCAGAGCACTGCCATCATCAGGCAAGGGGGCTGCAGCCACTTCCAGTGCGATGGGAAGGCACCTTTGCTCTCTGGCCTTCTCAGTTGTGCTGTGCCTTGTGTTAGGGAATGGCACGCAGGCTTTGTTCTTGACAAAACTTGACTGCACCTGAGATATTTAGCAAAGTGGACATTTCTGAAGGCAAGGAAGTGCTTGGAGTCATGGAAAAAGACCGCATGGCACTGTTCTATTCTTCTGCCCCCAGACAAACATGTATCTTAGTTGTGAGTGCCTTCCCAATTAGTGGCACTAAGAACACAGTTGTACAGGGCTTAGAGTCCAGAAGCAGAAGCAACTTAAATCCATTGACTTCCAAGTAATTTTTAACAGGGTAGGTCTTGCTGAACCTGGTCAGCTGTGACGAGGGACAGGCTTGGGCTGAGGAGCGCTCACCAAAGCGGCTATCTTTAACTTGCCAGTCATGAAAAAGTATGTTAAATTCCCACTTTTATGGAAATGGCTGAAATAACTCCTTGGTAATCCCAGTAATTTGATTTTGTCTATAACGTGCTTTTAAAGTAAAGGGATAAATACAATCAGTCTGCATAAAAGGTAGCTATTAATGAGCAGGCAAGTTGTACAATAATAACTTTAAATTAAAAGCCCTTTCCCACTACTTCTGTTGTGGGGTCTGCAGATTTTCCTTAAAACTTTTGAAACGTGCCTAGACTTCTTACAGGCAGCCATTTAACCTCCGTTTATGAAGAAATAAAGCAAAATTGATGTTGATTTTGGTCTACATTGGGGGATACTTTTGCAACATAAAAGCCCTTTTGCCTGCAATTTGCAGAGCAGCCCTGTCACATTGGTGAGGGCTGATACTGATAAAGATAAAGCTTTATAGCTGGGGCATTTGCAGCTAACAGCAAGCTAATGCTACATTTTCATTTTGATGCAATTAATGTTAATGTCTGCTACGAAAATTGTCATTAAATACCATTTTAAAATCCATTCAATTTGCATATGCAAAGCCCATTTACTATCATGTAAAATACACAGTGCCGTTCATCATGTCTTTTCTCTAGAATTTGTAGCTGTTATTTTTCTGGTAGTGATTATTATCCAGCTCTTAAAATGAAACCTAATGTCTGGTCCAGACCTGTGCAGAGTAAGACCTGTGCAGAGTAAGATAGCCCTCCGTGCTCCAGCAGCAGCAGGGCTGCTTCAGAGCCCCTTCCAGAGGCTTTGAGCACTTGCTTGTGCTGGACTTGCACTGGCTTTTCTGGACCATCGTGCTCTCCAGCCTCCCTCGTGTTCCTGTGGAGGACAGGCAGTGGAAGGACCTAGAAGTCAGTCTAAGCAAGGTGACCATGTTCTTCCCTGCAGACTCCCTGGTGCACAGTTCCCCCTGAGGATGCAGCACAGCAGGTAGTTGGGAGCTGGTACATGAGAGGCATGTTAAATGGGTCACTTCTAGATGCTGTATCTGTTTGAACCTTGGGCAGGGCTCACGTATACTGGATGTTTTATAAAAATATTTTGGAAGACACTGCGATGCAAAAGACCTAACTCAGGATGAAGCCTTAAACACCCTGCTGTATTGCAAAGGGTGAATGGGTAGGCTTATGTGCTTCTAGAAGGGTTGCTGGAGGAGCAGCAGGTACCAGCTCCCTTCCAGCTCTTGGGAGAGAGCCCAAGAAAGTAAAAGAGGGCAGTGAAAAGCTTCTTTGCTTCCATCCTGCTGTACTACCAGCTTCTGCCTAATGCAGGGTGATGAACTAACAGGTGGAAGAGAGTGGGACAAAGAACTCAAACTGATCCTTAACTGCATCGGGGTATTTCAACCAGTGCAAACAGGTACAAATGCTGTTGGTCTGATTTTTCTGACCCTGGGAAACCATTATTGCTTACAATTCTTCATGTTCCTTCTAAGTTAAAGGATTGGTGCTGAAAGCATTTTTAAGGGGTTCCAAGCCCTTAGTGCAGAGATGAAATGGTGTTGTGTCATGGCATGAAGATTAGATTTAGGTAGCTGACTGTCTGAGACACAGACATGGAAGTGATGCTGTGACTCAGTTGCAGCATGTCCAGATTCAGTAAGCTTTTCTTTTTTGAACTCTGCTAGCTGAGATGTGGGGGACATGTAGAAGTGAGGGTAGGAAGGAATAATCTCATTCTGAGAAGGGGCCCAAGCCTTTCCCCTTACCGTGTTGTGATGCCAAAAGTCATGTCTGCAGGTGCTTTAGGAGAACATCTCTTGAGGCGACAGTAGTTAAGACCTTTGCACCGAATGTCCTTGGCCTTGTAGTACAAATTAAATTCATGGGCTGTGGTATAACCAGCCTTCACAGCACCACAGTTCATGGTGATGTAGTCTTGGGGCATCTTCTGAACTAAAGAAGGCTTCCCTGTGTTCCAGTGGCCTATTGCTGGAGATGGAAGGAAACATGAGAGGCAAAGAGAGAAAGATCAGGCATCTTGGGTAACTCCTATTTGGGAAGCTATTACTTGTGCACCATGCACAAGGGCTTTGTCATGGCTTCACAGTGGTGTGGACTTTGTATCCTATCCCATCACATTTCATATGGGGACATCTCCCATCTGAATTAGATGTCTTCTGACCCTCCACCCTGGCTTGCTCAGCAAATCTGATTTCACAGGGGAATTGTCCCTGAGAGCACAAAGTAGGAGCTCTCTCCACTTATGGAAGTGGTCATGTGCATTGCCCTTTGCAGGTGCTGTACCCCTCTCTGCTTGGGCTCTGTGTGATGCTATACAAGTTTCCAATATGATAGAGAAGTTTTACTAGTCACCAAGCAATTTGTGTGATACTAATGAAAGCGGGTGAATGTTGGAGCTCTTCACCTCCAGCTTGATGAGAAGTATTGAAGAGCACTGGGAAGGAGAGGAGAATCCCTACTAGCTTTAGGACTACTTTACAGGTCTATATTTTAGTGGTGTTGTCATACCTGCAGCGACTCCTCCATCTGTCCCACGGATGTACAGCCCGTATGAAAAATCAAAGCCTGGCAGGGTGTAGCAGTTTCTCTGGGGCTTCCCCAGTTCTGCCTGCAGAAGAGTGAAGTTAAAGAAGTGTAAAGACCTTTCCTGATAAACTTAAAACCCCTGAAAATAAAAATTTGTAACAGAATGTGGCCATGACCACCAGAAGTGGCTCTGGCTCCACTTGGCCCAGGTTTGAATCCCACTGTCTGGATACAAGCCAGTGTGACAGTGCAAAAGGAGAACTCACAGCCATGAGACTTCACCAGAGCTGCAGCCTAAGGGATTCTGAATTTCACACAAGTTTGTAGCTAAGGTATAAAGTGACATAGCCTTGCTAGAAATGGGGATCCTGACTCAATATGTGGACTTGAAGTCTCCTTTTTTGGCTAATTTCTCCTCTGGCTGGGATGCCCAGCCATGATGTCTGCAGGGGAAACTCTGCAGCTAGTCTTAGCTTTCCTTTGAGTTATTTAATTTCCAAGTTGTGCACCCTCCTAGAAAACTGGCACAAACTTCCCCAAGCACAATCACGTCACCACTTCTGCCTGGGAATAATCAAGATGCGAGGCATGTTGCAGGGGGAGGATAAGAAGGATGAAGAAGGGGGAGCAGAGCCTGGGGTTTATAGCACAGAAAAAAGAGAACTTGAGCTCAATAACCTCATTTCTATTTAGTTTTAAAATGAACTCTTCCCCAGCCTATGTGTGTCCCAGCCTGGTGGTGTCTGTGGGATTAACTGACCTCCCTTCACCCCTTTGTCCCTACCCTCCCATCTCCATGGTGAAGTCACTGCAGGATGTGTGTGTCTTAAAACCTTATTGCAGCTTGAAAGGGAGGTGGTGGTGGAGGGAAGGAGCAAGAGCCTGGGTCTGTGCGTTCCTGCTAGGGGAAGCTGGAGCAGGATTGGGTAACAAGCCCTCTGGAGCCCTGAGGCATGGTGTGGGTGCTTTGGGACAGGTTATTTTCCATGGGAAGGGCGTTGGAGGAGCTGGAGGGTTGTAGGTGATGGTAGGCCTTGTTGAGAGAATGGAAGTGCCGAAGTACTGCTCTAGTGTTTCTCACAGGTGAATCATTGAACACTGACATTGAGGTGACTGCTATTACGCTCCAGAGTGAACACTCGCTTGATCTGGAGATGCTGAGTCTTTCTGCAGGAACTGAGTGAAAAGAGTGAGGCTGAAAATGAACCACCTCCAACTTGCCACTATGTACAGTGGTTGATAAGGGACGCAGCTCACCACATCTGCTTGTACAGGAACATCAGCCGAACCCAAATTTACATTCTTCTTCCTACCAGCACTCTGCAAATCCTTGCCAGGGCCTCAGAGCAGCCATGGCTCTCCTGTACACTGCCAGCCTGGTGGTCCTTTTCAAATGTGTGGTTAAGGGGTACTTAGCGAGTGTGCATGATGCTGCCAAGCAGCTTGAGCTGTTCTGTGTCACCCTCAGCTCAGGCAAAACTCTTGCTGAGCCAAAAGAGGTACCTTTCCAGAGGGCTCTGTGTTGAGGTCTCTAGAATTTGCTCATAATTCCTCAAACTTTTTTGCCTGGACTCATTTTTTGGTGCATTCAGTTTGGAGTTTCTCAGCTCCCACCTGTATATGCAGCTACACAAAATTTAAAGCATGCAGTGGCTGCAGCATTGGGCTCCTCACCAGCATGTCTGGGGTGAGATTGTGCCTACTTGCTTGAGTGACTTGTCTGCCTTGTGATGGCAGATCTGTTCCTTTGCAGATCCTGGCAAACTGAGTTTTGCCAGGTTGTGATCATTGGGCCTGCAAGCCTGTATGGTGATGCTTTTGGATAAATCCAGGGTCTTGCTTCCCGGATCTGGGAGGGAGGTGCTTCATCTTGGTCCTGTTAAATCCATGCACTTGTGATGCTATAAAGCAGGTGTGCTATTCCCATGATTCTCAGGAGCTCAAGGTTACCAGAAAATGAATTTTCTGGACTTACTAAGATCCTTTGATAGACTCAAAAACCCCATCAGGTTCCTTGCCCTGTGCAAAGCTACAGAGCCTTTTGGAAAGCAATTAACTCAGCTACCTGACACAACCTGTGTATAACATGGCTGCGTTCCCCCAGCTGCTTCCTGTGAACCCCAAACAGAGGAAGGGACTGTCCCTTGCAGATGTGTCCCGCACTGAGCACGATGGGAGTGAGTGGGCTTTACTGCTACTGAAATATCACAAGGCAGTGCTAAACCATATGTGCACGCTGTGTGTGAGTGTGGAAGCTCACACAAAATGTATAAACTGTTGCCAGGGATGACAAAGTAGCTTTCATTGCTGATCTCTCTCCTGTATTTATAGACATTTGCACACTAGCTATTTTTAGATGAGTTGTCACTGATAATACAAGGGGAAATGGTGTGGAGTTCCTCAGATGCATGAGAAGATGTTTTTTTCCAGGGATCATCTTCTGATACTGGGTCAGCTAAGTGAGGTCAGAAATCTGCTATGATGGCAAAGGTGTGGCAGATGAGAGAAAATTGTTTAGAAACTGCAGGAAAGGAGAGAGGTTTATAACCCGGGGCAGAGCTGCTTCCAGACCTTTGAATGCAGAACTCCATAGAATGGAAGAAATTTAATTTCTTCCAGAATTTAATGATTCCTTTTGTAGAGCACCTGAAGTTAACACATTTGAGTATTTACTCCATCACAAAATGAGTGCACGCTGCTGCTTTTTATCATTGGGTGGCGTTTTACAGTCACTTTGCACTGAATAAATAAAGCTGAAGGTGCTGGATAATTAATAAAAAAAAAAAATCTGTTCCATTATGTTGAACATGAAGAGAACCTGTGCCTGAAGAAAATCAATGGACTCGGAGGACTCTGGTTGCCTGCCAACATTTTACCCATGAACTCAAAGAATGGGAAGGAG